GAACCACCAAGGCAACCAGGTGATGAGCCACCAAAGGGTAAGGGAGGGGAGCCACCAAAGGGGCAGAAGCCTCCTCAGAGATACCTCCTTGCAGTTACTGAGGATGAGCCACCAAAGGAACGTGAACCACGAAGACAACCGGGTGATGAGCCACCAAAGGGGAGGAAGCCTCCTCACCGACACCTCCTTGCAGTTACTGAGGATGAGCCACCAAAGGAACATGAACCACCAAGGCAACCAGGTGATGAGCCACCAAAGGGTAAGGGAAGGGAGCCGCCAAAGGGGCAGAAGCCTCCTGGCAGCTTCTGAGCATGTTGTGGATCCACTTGAGCTGGCAAAGGGCAAGGGAGAAAAAATGCCATGCAGGAGTAAAAGCCACAAATAAATCCCCAAAAGCCTCCATATGCCAACATAGTTGCCATCTAACTAATTATACTCAATGTGGGGGTGGAGTCTAGAAATAAGAGCTGCTGTAGTGCTATATGCATTGTGGTTAATTAGTCAGTCCTGTATGTTAGCTTTTTAATTTGCCCTCTAAGAAATTAGCAGCATATGTAGTAGGTACCATCTATGTACTTTCTCTAAGTTTTGAGGGTTTTGAATGTGTAATAGTCAGCTCATGTTTGCTAGCTCTGTCTATACATGTACTTTTTCTATGTTTGTGAGTGTATCAGATGTGTTTTGCAGTATTATGTACCTACCTTGTTGAATTATCTCATTTGCTATGATATAATTAAGTTGCATAGCTTTGAAAGATAGCAAGAGCAACAAAGAAAATGCGAAGATTCAGATAATGTTTAACTAACATATAGGAATTGATACACAATACATACTGAATTTTCAAAAATTTTCCAACAAAAGAAATTGCAAAATTCTTTAATTAAAAATGATAGTGATCAATTTAAAGAACATGTCATCAGAGTCCTTGAGCAGAAGAACATTAAATGCATCATACTCAGTCTTAACGAAGAGTATACTAAGAAGACATAGATGGTATCGTAAATCTTAAAATGAAATAATCAGTTTGAAAATAAAAACTGCCTGGATATTGAAGAGATATTAATCTATAAAGCAGACGGAGATTCTAGATGAAGAGAATTAAATTAAACATAAAAAGCAAGGCCTCACATGAATAGAAGGGAGGTTAGAAAGACATCTAGCAACTGCACCATCTAACTTGTCATACCCTTCTGACAATACAGTGGCAATCATCTGGTCATCCTCAGTATCCTACTAACTGCTCCAGGAAGTTGAGCTAAAATATTCACCAACACTTAAAATCTGAATTCCATTCCTAATGAAGTGAAAGTATGCATAAAGAACTCCAAGTCCAAACAATACTCAGCTCCTAACAGCAATAATCAAAAGAAACAACTGGATGAGTAACATTAGCATTCTATAGATGTGGAATTGCAAGGTGTGATATCAAAATCAATCATATTACAATAGCACAATGAAACTTTGAGAAGTGAAAATCAGTAACCAAGCTGAAAACTGCAAATATCTGATAGTCATTAGTTAGTCAGAGGAAACAATTAAGTTATGCATCATGGCTAATTGCCAATACTGAGTCTGTTTGTGCATGTAATCTGTAAAAGTGAAGTTCTTTAGACTAAACATCACACAGTCACATGATCCATTATTACATGCAGCCAAAATAAGATGGCTGCTCAAAGGAAGAATACATCTCTTTCTACATTTCATCTTTTCCAACAACTAGCAATCTTATAAATTATACACCTCTTGTTCTTTTCTTGGCTCCAATAGAACACATTCTTCAACCCAAAAGATCTGCAATTATGCATCAATTTGTGGCATAATTATCAACAACTTCAAATCTGCATTAGACTAACAAAATTTGACTGATACTGCACAGGTTTAAATGAAAGCAGAACTTCTTACCTTTAGGTTGCTTTAATCTATGATGATGCCAATGTCTATTTGCAAGGCTCTCCTTAACTAAAAGTCAGACCAGTCAATAATGCTGCTGAAACTTCAGAAACCATGTTTTCTCTTTCTGTTGCCTTTTCCAAAGGAGAAAGGATGAACTGTATACTGAGAATTAACAAGTTCCTTGGGAATAACTGCTCCAGAAGACTTTAAACTTTCCACCAACTCCGGAAACAAATTCTTATTCTCCTCATTTACAAATACAAAGGCCATGCCCTCCCCCCCCATTCTGGATGCCCTACCAATCTGATGGACATACTCTTTAATGGAATTGGGCATGTCAAACACTATGACCTGTCTAACACCGAAAAGATCAATACCTCGACCTAAAACTCCAGTTGACACAAGCACAGAAATCTCTCCAACTAAAAATGACCTCATAATTTCTCTCCTCTCCTTCATGGTCTTCTCACCATGGATTGAAAAAGCTTTTACCCCAGTGGTGACAGTAATCGCATTGGAGAGGAGATCTGCCCCTAGTCTTGAACCCACATAGACCACAACAGGTGGCATAAAATGTTGCTTGCTTGTCAAAATGTCAAAAAGCTTCTGTTTCTTTTGCTTTGACTCTACCCAGATAGCAAGCTGCTTCACAGCACTATTCGGTTTGTTAGGCTTCCCAACAGAGAGACTGATAATATCTTTAGCCAAGGAACTAGCTATCTTTTCTACATCTTGTGAAATTGTCGCTGAATACATCAGAACCTGAGGTTGGGAAAGAGCCCTGAAGATCTGCATTACCTGATCTCTGAAGCCCCTTTGAAGCATGCAGTCTACTTCATCCAAAACAAATACCATTACGTCATCTAAAGAAATTTCATGCTTTGTCAAAAGGTCAATAAGCCTGCCAGGTGTCCCAATGATGAGTTCTACTCCTTGCTGAACACGATAGAGTTGTCCAGCCATAACTTCACCACCAACCACAAGTGCAGTTTTGAAAGGCAACCCTTTTCCAAGCAGCTTAGCTTGCTCTTCAACTTGGATACATAGTTCCCTAGTTGGTGTTAGAACCATCGCTAATGGCTTTTTCTGACTTGCAAAGTGTTGGCGTCGATAAACTGCACACTGAGAAACAATAGGAACCAGATAGGAAGCAGTTTTTCCAGAGCCAGTGTCCGCTGAAACAAGCAAGTTTTTTCTCATCAAAGCAGCCGGGATTGCTTGCATCTGGACAGGTGTTGGCATGTCATACCCCACACTTTCTATATTTTGAAGGAGCTTCTCAGGAAGAGTACACGAAGAAAATGCTAACGCAGGAGCGGGAAGCACACCTCCCTTGACATGGATTTGAAGTTTCCTTCTAAGATTTTCCAACTGATCAGCAGTAAAAGAAGAAAATCCTGATTCCTCATCAGAATCTCTAACATAAAAGCACTCATCAGTTGCAGGTAATCTTTGAGGGACTGAGGGCGCAACGACGGCCCTGCAGAGTAGAATTTGCTTACATTCCAAGCTACAAATATCTTCATCTGTTGCATCACAAATATACTCACCATAGCGACCACATACAACGCATTTAGGTTCCCCTGGCAAAGCTTGTCTTTGATCCCTGGACCTCTGTTTCACATCATTCCCTGCATCAAAAAATCGAAAGACAAGCAACATATTTCTTGAGGATAGTGGAATTGCAAAGTTTCAAGAGAACTTAAATTCAAAGGAAAATAAAATTATAAAAGAGGAAAAACATATTCAATCGAAAAAACAATTAGAAAGAGGAATTGAAATAGGAATTGAGAAATTAAGCAGCTAAATTGGTGAAGCGCGGGATTCAGAGAAAATAGAATTACTGCGAGGAATTAATTCATCAGGAATTTAAAAGATTTTGTTTCGCGGAATTACCAGGGGTTTGATGAGAATCTGGCGGCTGGGCAGAAGTTGTGTTTTGAGGTTCCATGATTTGACTAGGGTTTCTGCAACTCAAAACCAGAGCCGGCGACCGATTTCCGACAATGGAGTACCAATTACCAAACAAGGCGGAGCCGCTTCCCTTGGCCGTCGTCAACAGGTTTGAACCTTTCTCTTTCACAGGGTAATTACAACTTTTAATTTTTTCCAAAAAAAAAAAGAAGAAAACTTTCAATTTTCGAACCAAACCGGTTCGGTTAATTTAGAGAATCAGTTAAACCGGTTAATTTCCAAACATTACCCGAAATAATTTAGGTTCAGTTAACAGTTAAGAAAATATTTCGGTTAACCAAACAAAACCAAATTTAATCATTTAAAAAAAAATAATCTTCTATTTATTTTTTTCAAATTATAACATCAGAAAAATGATTTTTAGTGTGGAGTGCACATTTTTATAGAGTCCGCTATGAAAGTTATCAAAATGTCATTAATGAAATTACACTTTATATTTATTTATTAATGATATTTTAATACCTTAGTCTTATAACATTTTTATATACTTTCTTCATTTATTTTTATTAAATTTAATTTTTTTGTTTAATAAAATAAATATATAATAATTTATTGATAAAATTTTATATTTATTCTTAATTAAATGCTATTTAAATAAAATTTTTATTTAATATATTGTAGCTATTTTTTAAATTTTAGAGTAAAATAGAAATAAATATATTAAATAATTAAATTTAAACATTTTAAATAAAAAATTAAATTTATTAAGAATAAACAAAAAAAGAAAACTATTTTACCCTTTAAATTTAAAGGCTTTCTCAGCGAATAGAACTTGTCTACCCTAAAGTCCACTTCACCATAGATATGCATGAGACTTTTAGTACTTGTTTGATTTAAAACCGTACAGGCATAAGCTTACAACATATCATTAAATTGTTAGTTCGAATGGAAAGAATTTGATTTTTTAAATAAAATCTCAGAGTTTGAATTTTGTAGATAAAAACTAAATCGTGAGGAGAGTTTCTCCTAATGAAGTCAATGCAGTTCAATTCTGAATTAATTGAGATCCAATATAATTATTAGGTACCGAAAGATTAATAATAAAAAAAAAGAGGGTTACAACAACCCAGCTGAGATCTCACATTTCTAGCAAAAAAAAAAAAAAAATGACATATATACTTGACCCTTTGAGAGTGCATCGACCAACCCACGTTCATCTTTCTGTATATGCCAGGTAAAGGAAAGTGTAAACAAAAATAATTTGTGCGCTTAGCAGTAAACTGCGCAGGACTAAACTGTTGAATAATGCTTGTACTATGAGCTCAGTTTTCACATATGAATGATTAAAAATTATCTTCAATCCAAAAAAAAAAAGAAAAAATGATATTGTCTTGTAGGAAAGAAAAAAAATTAGGATATCAGACAGAAGGAATCTGATCTAAAACAGAAAGTAAGTTTGCTTGAGTACTATTTCTCTATTTTTATAGCAAATCTTCATAATCGTTTTTCTTATTTCAGCCTACATCTACAACCGCAAAATCATTGCCACAAATCTCGCAACGCTGGATTATGTTTCTCAATTAACCACAATGCAGACTAACAGTAGTTGATTAGAATGTAAAGAGTATAATTTTTTTAAAATAAAATTTTAAATTTAAAACTTATAAATAAAAAGATACGTGTTAAAAAAAAATTTTTTATTTATAAAATTTGATCTAATTTGATTTTGGATTAATTGAGTATCAATATAACTTTTACATATTAGAGGTTTGGTAAAAAACACAAAAATCAACTGCAGTGCAGTAACACTCAAGAATGAAATGAAATAGAAATACCTAGTTTCCGTAGAGGATGGGACGATTGATCCATGCTTCAAATTCTAAGAAAACGGAAAGGAAAAAACAAATTATCAGTTGACATTTCTTTACCTTATTAAATTTCATCAAGTTTTTTGGTCTGTTTCTCCATAGTCTTGCCTTGCTACATTCCCTGCTGTGTTTTACATTTGCTTAATCAGCAATCAGCAGCTTAACTTTGACAAAAACCCCCATCAATCGAGAAAAATAATCAAGGTGAGTGCAAGTTAAGATCAAATGAATATTAAGGAAGTGAAAAAGACAGAAAAGAGGAAATACTGAAACTCTTCCTCTAGTTCTGAACGGAGAGTTTCCCAATTGTCTAACTTTTCAACTGGTACAAATCATCAGAAATATTGGAGTATTTTTTTGACTTAATTTGTGATTTACATGTGAAAGGAAACAAGGAAGATTACTGGCGATGGGGGCGAAAAGAAGTATAAAAGGGCATCCAAGCTTCAGGTTCTAAAGCATCCAATGAGAAAGATGGCTCTCACTTACTTGACATTGTTGTTCATTGGTGCAGTGGTTCTTGCCACTCCATCTCTGGCTGATTACCAAAAGCCACCTCAATATGAGCATAAGCCACCAACTCCTTTCACTAGGCCTCCTCCGAAGGAGAAGCCTGAACCACCTGTTTACCCACCTCCTGAGGCAGAGAAACCACTGCCAGAGCACAAACCACCAATGCCTGCTCCTAAGCCTCCTAAATTCGAGAAGCCATTCCCTAAGCACAAGCCACATCCACCAGTTTACCCACCTCAGAAGGTAGAGAAGCCACTTCCAGAACACAAACCACCAATGCCAGCTCCTAAACCTCCTAAATCGGAGAAGCATTTCCCAGAGCACAAGCCACACCCACCTGTTTACCCATCTCCGAAGGTAGAGAAGCCGGCCCCAGAACACAAGCCACCAAGTCCAGTTCACAAGCATCCTAAAGCAGAAAGGCCAAAGCCTGAGCACAAGCAACCGAATCTGCCTCCCAAGGTAGGAGCAGCACCACCAGTGCACCAACCCACACCAAAACACAGGCCAGGAACTCTGCCTCCCAAGGTAGGAGCACCAGCCCCAATGCACAAGCCATTACCACCTTTCGGTCACGACCATGGACACCCTCCAAGGAACGAAGCCGAAGCTCCTCACAGACCACCCAGGAAGATGATGCCTCCTGCTTCTCCGCACAAAAAGCTACCTAGCCCACACTACATGCCACCCCATAGCCCTCCATCACCTACCCATAATTGAGTTACGATTACAGATATTTCACCTATAAAATAAGAACTTACTGCTATTTATCATCTTCATTGAGGAGGATTGTTCATACCATTGCTCATTGCAGTGTTTCTTGTTTTGTTCTCTGCTTGTAGCTAATGAGCAAACAATAGTTTTTCATATTTAATGCTGAGTTCCATGGATTTTCATTTACATTTATCTATGCATGTTACATTCTAGTCTTCTCCTTGAGTTTTTTTTTTTTTTTCCTAACATCACGAGAATTATGTTATCCTTTCCACTGCATGAAACATGAATGGTAGAGAAGACATCAGCAAAACCACAGAGATTACTATAATGATGAAAGTCCTAAATTTGTCAATACCCAATTTTTTCCTAAAAGTCAGCCTGATTATTCAAAGCTTAGAGCCATTGATTTGATTTGATTGGAATTGACTTGAAAAATTCATGTTAGTTAAAAATGGTAGGTAAGAAATGCTCACCAAGCTTTATACAGGTCGTGGACATGCCACACCTGCTTCACATGCTTATGCATTGATGACTATTCAGCAAGAGTAACAGACTGATC